TTCAGGTTTATACATGTTTACAAGAGACGATTGAAAGCAGGATCACTGAAAGTTTCTTGATGTAAAAGGGACTGATTTTCAAAGGGTCAGGCCTGAAAGTGCACATGCAAAAAAGTACATGCAATTATGAACCTAATATGTTGATGCAACCATTCTGAGTGAATAAATAATTAATACAATTTGTACATAAAAATAGTCTGATCAAATGGATATCTGCATGTCCACAAGGATGCATGTGTAAATTAGATGCCCAATGTTATACTTTATTTTTTAAAATGGGACACTGTAGATGGAAACTAGAGATGTCATTGGTTAATTGGTTAACAGGTAATGCATACCAGTTACTGGCTAACCAGTGGCCTGGCTGGGCTGGAGCAGCCCCCTCCCAGTGATGGTCCAGCCTCCAACCAGGCTGAAGAAAGCCTTCGCCCACCACAGGTGGGTGAGAGTGTTCGTTCCAGTGGGGCTGGCCCGCCCCATTAACCATCACATAACATTTAACTAGTTAATTGATTAAACAGGATTTTACATTGCTAAAGGAAGCATATTTTTATGTTTGCTTTTGTTTAGCATAGTGTAAGTCTGAGACTTTCCCATTGTGTAAAACAAACAAAAAGAAATGACCTTGCAATTCCATTTGGTCCTTCAGCTGAGACATACCAGACTATTTGCAAGTGTAAATGCCCTTTTATAATTATTATGCATTTATTAACATATTTGCCCCTGTAATTATGAACTCAATTTTTTATAAAAATTGAAGACAATATAATTGGGAATAATTAAACTAGTTATAATTAATTAGAGCGAAGAAAGAAGGGGGAAAATACTGACTTCTTTACATATCTAACAACTTGTCTGCATTTACAGTGTTAGCTTGAAGTATAAATTGAATGTTAGCTCTAACCCAGTTCCCATTCATGCAAAAAAATATTTTGGATTAATTAAGGGCTGGTCTACACTGGCGAGTTGCTGCACTGTAACTCTCTTGCTCAGGGGTATGAAAAAAACCCCTCCCAAGTGCAGGAAGTTACAGCGCTGTAAAGTGCCAGTGTAAACAGGTTCCCAGTGCAATTTACCACTCCCCTCCTGGAGACGGTTTACCTAGAGTGCTAAGAGAGCTTTCTACCAGTGCTGGTGCACTGACCACACTGCTGCATTAAATGCTACCACAGTAGCACTTTAAACTTGTAAGTGAACACAGAGCCTAAGTGGTACATTAAACTCTAGCTAGCTGACCCATGGGGCTATGGATTGAAACTTGAGAGCTGAAGTTACTAGAGTGAATAATATCCTAGGTATGTAGCTATAGACTATAGCTGGAGTTAGCATAATCTCTCAGATGCTAGTCCAATCACTTTGTGCAGCTAATCAAATTACTCCCTGTAGCTTGAGTGCAGTTTTGCTGCTCTCACTTGAGTAGAGTGACCAGATGTCTCAATTTTATAGGGGCAGTCTTGATATTTGGGGCTTTGTCTTATATAGACTGGGGGAAGGCTGTGACTCTCCAAACAGCCTAGCATGGCCCTGCCTATGCTCTGGCCACTGGTCTCCTCCTGCAGTTCCCTGTGTTTCTCGGTGGCCCGGGCTGGCCAGCTTTCCTTTTGCTAAGATTTGGACAACTGAGGCTGGGGCCACAGTGTCCGCCTGAGGCTAAAATCATGCTGTCTGATGCTGTGGGGCTGGGGACATTGCAGCTGTGCCGCACAGGGCTCTGGGATGTCCACCCAGGGCACCAGGGTTAGAGGCTGTCCTACGCACCAAGGATGGGGCCTCAACCTGGCCTCCTGACGTGGGACTGCAGTGGGGGTGTTCTGGGCTCCTGAGAGGCAGAAGAGGCAGAAAGGGGCTGGGCCTTGGGCACAAGGGGTGGGGGTCAGGCACTAGCCTCTCTCAGCACAGGTTCACTGGCCACCCATGATAGATATACATTACCCCCATCCCTCCCATGCTGACTTTTTACACTTGCTATATAGTCACCCTATGAGTGAATGAGCTCAAATCAGAGTGAAGTGGCTCACATGTAAGTAACTGGAGCTACCTGTTGCTTAAGCCAGTGGATTTCAAACATTATTCTTACCATGACCCAGCTGAAAAAAATGTTGATGCCTGCAATCCAACATAATAGTATCTTCTGACTAGACTGTGGGTTCTGGGATGTTTGTGGTGCAGGGGAGGTTTTGGGTTTAGGGGGGATTGGGGTGCTGGGTTGATATGTGCTTCGCTCCGGTGGCTCCTGGTCAGTGGCACAGCAAAGGTGCTAAGGCAGGGTTCCTGCTTGTTCTGGTACAGTAGACTGTGCTGTGCCACTCTGCTACATGTGCACTGATCTCACCCACAGGCACTGACATCAGGACCCATTGGTAGAGCCTTGCACGGATACAAAATTTCTCTCTCTATCCAAATCTACATCTGTAAAAATAAACCGCAGATATCCACACTGACATCCATAGATGTGGATACCTTCGGGTATAAAATGGATATCTGCAAATTTTCAGAGTTCTACATACAAAATTTGTATTTGCATCCACATCCATATCTGCAAATATGAACAGTGGATATTTGCATCCACGGATATAAAGCGAATTTGCACATATCTACCCATTGGCTAGTGCAGAGTTGCTGCTTGGGGTGGGAACAGTGCACAGAGCCCCATGCGCCCTCCCTTGCCCCCAGAAGCCAGACTTGCTGCTGGCCACTTCTGGGGTGCCCATAGTCCATGGTGCCCAGGACAGGCAAGAAGCCTGCCTTAGCACCCTCTGGTCATCTGATCACTAGGGCTGACATACTTTCGCAAAAAATCCTAAACATGTCAAAGAAAAAAATTGGTTAAGCAAAAAAAAAAAAAAATCAATGTCCCCAATGGCCTTCTGTCTAAGAAAATACCGGACAGATGATGCAATTACCGCACTGTCCTGGTGAAAACCAGACACCTGGCAACCCTGCTGATCACCCTTCAGTATGGCAACCTAGTGCCTGAAATTCCATGACCCAGTAACTGAGTCAGGACCTCTACTTTGAAAAGCTGTAACATTCATTTGCAGTATGCTACCCAGCCACTAGTAGTTGTCTTCTTTGTTGTATAGCATTTCAGACATAGGGTTGGTCCTGGCCAACAAAGAGTTAGTTAGAATTCAAGCTGAGTGGAATTTTCTCAAGAAGGACTGTGTCTCTGTAAAGCAGCCTCTAAGGCTCAGAGCTCTGCCCCAGCATTGGGGAGCCTGCTGCCCCACTACAGGCCTAGCGCACACAAAATCTACTAGCCCACATTAGGATCTGGTGTGCAAGGGAAATGTGGAGAGTATCTTGATAATGGTCATGCCTATTCACTTTCAGAATATGATCTGAAGAAGTGGGTCTGCCCCACGAAAGCACATCGCCTAATAAACCACCTTCTTAGTCTTTAATGTGCAACATGACTGGGTTTTTTTTTGTTTTTCCTTTGCAGTTAGGGACCACGTTAGTGAGGGGTTTTTTCAATGGGTCAGCTGCCCCGATACAAAAAAGGTTCCCCACCCCTGCTGTAAAACATGACAAAGCAGGGCAAGGTCTTACTCCTCTCTGACTCTTACCCTGAGTCATGTTTGCCTGTTGAAGAATGCTTCCCAACTTCCCAGCAACATAACACTACGTGATTTTTATTTATAGTCTGATAATCCACAAATGCGGCCCACACTTCCCCGGGAAAGGACGAGTCCCTGCTTCCATGGACTCACAGGGCAACAGGGAAAGCCGGGCGAGCACTGGGGAGTAGGAGGCGATGGGAATAGGTGGTGCAGAATTTGAACACGGGCTGCTTGCCTGCTTTTGGGCGAGAGAGGGTCTCTGTGGGGCACAGCTCCGGTTTTAATGAGTGACCAGATCATTTCCCTGCCAATGAATGACAGAAGCTCCCGCTGCGAGACGCTGGCCACCACCCCGCCCGATATTTAAAACTTCTCAGGTTCTCAGGTTTTTGATCTGAGGAAGTGGGTCTGGCCCACGAAAGTTCATCATCTAATAAACCATCTTGTTAGTCTTTAAAGTGCTACATAGTCCTGCATTGGGCTTCCGGGAAGATGCGTCCTTGCTCTGCGTCCAGGCACCAAGATGCCCTAAGGGCAGAAGGCGGCGGATGCGTGCGGGGCGAGCTCAGCGGGGAAGGATGCCAAGTGGGAGCAGCAGGGAGGCAGGAGAGGGTCGGGGAGCGCAGAGGGGCGTGTGAGAGTGCGGGGCTGAGGCGGGTAAGACGAGGGGACTGGAGAGGAGGAGGAGGCCGGGAGAGCAGGACCGGGGGGTGGGTAGGAACTACGAAGAGGGGGCAGGGTAACATGGAGGGTGCATGAAGGGAGGCAGAGGGGAAGGATGCCAAGTGGGAGCAGCAGGGAGGCAGGAGAGGGTCGGGGAGCGCAGAGGGGCGTGTGAGAGTGCGGGGCTGAGGCGGGTAAGACGAGGGGACTGGAGAGGAGGAGGAGGCCGGGAGAGCAGGACCGGGGGGTGGGTAGGAACTACGAAGAGGGGGCAGGGTAACATGGAGGGTGCATGAAGGGAGGCAGAAGAGGCTCCCGGGGGGGGGGGGGGCGCGGGGGGGGGGGGGGGGGCTCCTTCCACCACTAGGAGCTGGCACAGCCCTGAGGTGGGGGCAGGGCCAGGAGCCCCAGACTTAGCCCGGAGGTGGGGGTGGGGCCAGGAGCCCTAGGTCTGCCCTGGGGGCCAGGAGCGCCGTACCTAGCGGGGGAGGGGA